GGGCCGAGGTGCCACCCAGACGTGAGGGGGGGCTCCCGCAGCAGCGTCCCCGAGTGTCCCCCGCGGCTCTGGCCGTCCCCACCCCGGGAGGTCTCGCCTTCCGGTGGTTTTCCCAGCTCTGAGCTCAGAGCCGCAGCCAGCCGGGCTCACCGGGGTGGCACGTCAGACCTGACAGTCTTCAAGGTCTTTTCCAGCCTAAACAATTCCGTGATTCTTCCCGCTCTGCTGGGGAGGGCAGAGCCCATCCATGGCACTGGCATCACCGTCCAGCTCCGATGCACTGGGAGCACCTGAGCCTGTGGGGTGATGCAGGTGCACCCCGTGCACCCAGCACCCCACCAAGGCCGGGGCGTGCAGTGGCCGGGCGATGCTCGGAGGCCTGAGCAGGAGGTTTTCCTGCCGCCGCCTTGGCGCTGCTGGGCTGCAGACCCCATCCCTTGGTGTGGAGCACAGACCGTTACAGCAAAAGCCTAGGAGAAGCATGACCGTCCGTTGGAGCCGGAGGGACAGTCCGCAGAGCTGGAACACATCTGGCCCTGGCAGGGGGAGCGTGCCAGGAGCAGGAGCAGCCCCACCGCGAGCGGAACCCAGCTCAGCAGCCGGCTGCTGTGCCCGGATGCTGCTTGGGTGTGCCGAGCCTCCCGCTGTCCTGGTACAGGGTGCAGGTGCAGTCACAGAGGATGTGGGTGTGGGGGTGCCGAAGGCAGCTCTGCACCGGCCTGCCACCACCCTGGCATGAACCCGGCCGAGTTGCTGTCTCTGGGAGCGGAAGAGAGCTGAGTCTCCAAAACTCAGCCTGGGGCTGCACCGTGGCAAACCACGAGGCAAAGGAACATAACCAAGTCCCCCTGAAATATAGGGGAGGTGCGGAAAAGAGCACAAAGCAGCCAGGACTGGAAAAAACATCCTGGGCTTCAGCCAGATCCAGTCCCTGAGCTGGCACAGTGGGCACCCGGCTGCAGCAGCTCCTGGGGTTCAGGCTCTTGCGCCCCATCAGCGGCTCCATCCAGGGCTCACAGTTGGGGGTGTGGGGAAAAGGCAGCGTCTG